GAGCCCCGCACCATGCAAGAACTCCTGACAGACAAACTATAAAGACATTAATAAATACAGAAGCATGTTTAGTGCAAGCAGGGAAGCAGTTAGGAGGGACACAGTGGAGTAGTGCGCATGCGTCAGGAGACAAGCAGAGACTGGTAGGGAGACAGATGGTGAACCCCGGTGAAGCAGTCCACCGGTTGTGAAGGACCGGTGAAGAAGTCCACCGGTTGTGAAGGTCCGGTGAAGAAGTCCACCGGTTGTGAAGGTCCGGTGAAGAAGTCCACCGGTTGTGAAGGACCGGTGAAGAAGTCCACCGGTTGTGAAGGACCGGTGAAGAAGTCCACCGGTTGTGAAGGACCGGTGAAGAAGTCCACCGGGTTCCTCACCATCAAAGTCCTCAACACAACATTTTCGGAAGTGTTTAAGACAGAACAAGAGTTGAGATTAGCGACAGGTGACGGAAGGTGAGAGGTGAGTCACTTGTATATTACCACTTAAACACACTTACGAGTGCTATTGTAAGTGTGTAGTAGCCAAGTTGAGCTAAATACAAGCATCTCTATAACAACAATAACTTAAATACTGGTCGTGGCCCTCTATACAAATTACTTAATCCTTTCTGACAAGAAACATATATAATCCTTCATATAAGACAATAATATATATTATCCTTCATATTATAATGTCGCGTTATTTAATGAAAACATTTTGATGGAAATGCAATTTGCAACAGACAAAAGCGTCTGATGACTTCAAATTGAGTGTCTGAATTGTATATTTACATCAATTAATTGTTGCATTGTTAGGAGTGAGTAGGAATGGATTTTATCGGTTTAATTATATTACATAACTGAGAGGAAATGCAAGTTGATAATGGATGAAGTTCATTTTTATACAATTGGAAATATAAAAAAAAACTTCTTTTAATGCAAGGTGACTAAACCCTTACATTTTCATGGTAGGAAAATACAATGAATCTTAGTATTACTTTGTGACGAGAGAAATACACTTACCAGGAGCAGGCAGAGTACGACCGGCGACCTTGCAGGACGCCCAGTATATCTTTCATTGTATATCTCAGTATACCTCAGTATTTCATTGTATATCTCATTGTCTTTCTCAGTATATCTTTCAATGCAGCATTGATAACGTTGAGCAATGCCTCTTTCCCTCGACCTCCGCGAGCAATAATACTTGCTAACCGTATATAATGCGTGTCCCTGACCTGTAGGCAGGATGCTGGCTGGATAAGGGCTAATGGCTGGTCCTGCCGGCCAGAGTTGATCCACTAACCCAGTTACGTGAGAGTGAGCAGCCTGTGAGGGAGCAACAAGGTTACCCCGACCCGTCCAGCAGGAGGCGAGCACACGCACGCCAGGTGTAAACATCTGACTCGTGGAACATTACACAACAAACTTGCATTTGTGTCAAGTTAAAGTCAGACATATGTGAATGAGTTTGGCAACTGTAGAATGGACATAAATGACCACAGACAAGGATGTCAGGGTTAATCCCAGAAATTAAGCTACGAAGAGAGATTAATAACTTAGTTACTGTGTAGAAAGTGGAAGAGAAAAGTGGTAACATTATTGAAGTTGATATATGTATGAAAAGTATACACAGGGGATAAAAATCTGGTGCTACACTCAGGAAGCAGTTACGCAAGCACTTACGAACCTGTACATCTGTTCTCAATCTGTGGCGGCTTTGTTTACAATTATTAAACAGTTAATGAGCTCCGAAGCACCAGGAGGCTATTTATAACAATAACAACAGTTGATTGGCAGGTTTTCATGCTTGTAAACTGTTTAATAAATGTAACCAAAGCCGTCAAAGATTGAGGAAAGATGAACACGTTAATATGTACCTGCGTAACTGCTTCGTGAATCTGGCCCCTGGTTATAAATATGTCTGCTTGATGGGGTTCTGGGAGTTCTTCTACTCCCCAAGCCCGGCCCGAGACCAGGCTTGATATCAACATAAAATATAACACAAAAGAATAGTTATAAATTTGATAAGACTGGATTCAGGAAAGACCTGGGTAAATACTGGTTTGGAAATAGGGTTGTTAGTTTATTGCACAAAAAAGTAATTGGTATTACAAATAATAAAAAATCGATTGGTTGTTTCAAGTGTTGGTTATACATGAACTGATTCACATGGGACAACAGTAGCTGCCTCGTATGGGACAACAGGAGTTGCCTCGTATGGGACAACAGGAGCTGCCTCGTATGGGACAACAGGGGCTCCGGCTTGTCGTCACAACACACCTGGTGTTCTTCAGCTATATCTTGCTCGTGTTAGGCCCCATTTACATCTTAAAGTTCAGTGTTGGTCACCTTACAATCAAATTTAGATAAATTCCCTACACGCATCCAGCGAAGTGGACGAATAGTCATAACAAGATGGATATTAATAAGGCGTTAAATATTGAAAAGAAAACAATGGAAATAAGTAGGATAAGTTTAGATTTAAGAAAGACCTGGGTAAATACTGGTTTGGGAACAAAGTTGTTGATTTGTGGATTACTGGGTTACATTACTGATTACTGGGTTACATAATAGACGTGGGATCACTTGATTGTTTCAAGTGTAGGTGAGACATATATATATATATAAGAATGAGTTTAACATATATAAGAATGAGTTTTACATATATAAGAATGAGTTTTACATATATATAAATAGAAGTTGGCATGTAAGAACCAATAGCCCTTCTACTCCTTCCTTAATTCTTAGGCTCTTTTGTAATGTTCTTTCTTAGTATATTTCGTTATGAAGCCTCAACAGAAACGATTTGGTCTGGGAATAGGTCTTGGCAAAATTTAATTAGGTTCCAGTCATTCGCAGTTCGCCCCTATTCATCCAGCAGTAAATACCTACCTGGTCATTAGCCAACTGGCAGGTGGTGATCGAGGTGAAACAATTGGGCACGGCTTACCATGAGTTATGGGAAGGTAAAGCTCTCAGCCTGCTGCGAGGAGACACACCGGCTCCTTCTGTGTAACAATAATGATATAATAGGTAGACATAACCCACCGGGGGGATATTACACAAGGTGTAATGTTTAACATTTATATATTATTTCGGCTAAAAAGTAAATTAAGAAAGGAAAATTTTTAAAGTAATTTAAATTCGTCCTCGAGTTTATTCCTTTGAAGCAAAAGACAAGAATTTTCTTGAGTTAGAGATTATAGAATACAGGAATTTTACATTTAATATTGGAAATAAAAAACATAATATTTAAAAATATATATGTTTTACACATATTATAACATATTTAGAAACATTGTATTTATTTATGTCAAATACTTATGAAGACGATTGTTGCTCCTATAAGGGACTACGTCTTGCACTTACCTGGGTAAATATATAATGCAAGAAATAACAATCAACAAAGCAAAGAAACCATCAGTGATATAACCTATAAGACACTCAACCACTTTCATAAAGTTAACATTATATATCATACGCCTAAGTAAAAATTGAAGGCCTGTCGTTATATATTGTAGATCATATATCGTTAATTTGAATTGCTTCAATAGCTTAGGATATCGAAGCAATACTTAGGATATCGAAGCAATTCTTAGGATATCGAAGGAATTGTTAGAATATCGAAGCAATACTTATGATATCAAAACAATTCTAAGGATATCGAAGTAATACTTAGGATATCGAAGCAATTCTTAGGATATCGAAGCAATGCTTAGGATATCGAAGCAATTCTTAGGATATCAAACAATAGTTAGGATATCGAAGCAATTCTTAGGATATCGAAGCAATACTTATGATATCAAAGCAATTCTAAAGATATCGAAGCAATTCTTAGGATATCGAAGCAATACTTAAGATATCGAAGCAATTCTTAGGATATCGAAGCAATTCTTAGGATATCGAAGCAATACTTAAGATATTGAAGCAATTCTTAGGATATGGAAGCAATTCTTAGGATATCGAAGCAATACTTAAGATATCGAAGCAATTCCTAGGATATCGAAGCAATACTTAGGATATCGAAGCAATTCTTAAGATATCGAAGCAATTCTTAGGATATCGAAGTCATCATTTATAATTTTTGCAAATTTTCATGTAGCTTAACAATTATCGACAGAGCAGAAAGGATAGTTACGTTTCCGATCATTGTGAGGGAGGTGAGGCTGGTGGCCGGGTCCTCGCCTCGGGCTGTAGCGGGAAGTATAAGATGAAACACTTGTAACAGCCATACAGGGAACACGGCATTACAGCTGTAGGTAGTTAGGGGAGTGAGTTGTCTGTGATCCTTTAATGTTGTGTAACCAGATGTGGGACTACCTTAGAGATTGTCTTGTGTGGCATTACTGTATAACACACGCTGTTATCATACACAGTGTTATCATACACGCTGTTATCATACACGTTGTTATCATACACGCTGTTATCATACACGCTGTTATCATACACGCTGTTATCATACACGCTGTTATCATACACGCTGTCATCATACACGCTGTTATCATACACAGTGTTATCATACACGCTGTTATCATACACGTTGTTATCATACACGCTGTTATCATACACGCTGTTATCATACACGCTGTTATCATACACGCTGTCATCATACACGCTGTTATCATACACGCTGTCATCATACACGCTGTCATCATACACGCTGTTATCATACACGCTGTCATCATACACGCTGTTATCATACACGTTGTTATCATACACGTTGTCATCATACACGCTGTTATCACACACGCTGTTATCATACACGTTATCATACAAGCTGTTATCATACACGTTGTTTACTTACACGCTTTCATCATACACGTTGTTATCACAAACGCTGTTATAATACATGTTGTTAACACACACGCTGTTATCATACACGCTGTTATCATACACGCTGTTATCATACACGTTATCATACAAGCTGTTATCATACACGTTGTTATCATACACGCTTTTATCATACACGTTGTTATCACAAACGCTGTTATAATACATGTTGATAACACACACGCTGCTATCTTACACGCTATTATCATACACGCTGTTATCATACACGCTGTTATCATACACGTTGTTATCACAAACGCTGTTACCATACACGCTGTTATCATACACGCTGTTATCATACATGTTGTTATCATACACGCTGTTATCATACACGCTGTTATCACACCCGCTGTTACCATACACGTTGTTATCATACACGCTGTTACCATACACGCTCTTATCATACACGATGTTATCGCACACGCTGTTATCGCACACGCTGTTATCATACACGCTGTTATCACACACGCTATTATCACACACGCTGTTATCATACACGTTGTTATCATACACGCTGTTATCATACACGCTGTTATCATACACAGTGTTATCATACACAGTGTTATCATACACGCTGTTATCATACACGCTGTAATCATACACAGTATTATCATAAACAATGTTATCATACACGCTGTTATCATACACGCTGTTATAACACACGCTGTTATCATACACGCTGTTATCATACACGCTGTTATCATACACCGTGTTATCATACACGCTGTTATCATACACAGTGTTATCATACACGCTGTTATCATACACGCTGTTATCATAAACAGTGTTACCATACACGCTGTTATCATACACGCTGTTATAACACACGCTGTTATCATACACAGTGTTATCATACACACTGTTATCATACACAGTGTAATCATACACGTTGTTATCATACACGCTGTTATAACACACGCTCTTATCATACACGCTGTTATCATACACAGTGTTATCATACACGCTGGTATCATACACAGTGTTATCATACACGCTGTTATCATACACAGTGTTATCATACACAGTGTTATCATACACGCTGTTATTATACACGCTGTTATCATATACGTTGTTATCATGCACGCTGTTATCATACACAGTGTTATCATACACGCTGTTATCATACGCGCAGTTATCATACACGTTGTTATCATTCACGCTGTTACCATACACGTTATCATACACGTTGTTATCATACACGCTGTTATCAAACACATTGTTATCACACACGCTGTTATCATGCACGCTGTTATCATACACATTGTTATCATACACGCTGTTATCATACACGCTGTTATCACACACGCTGTTATCACACACGCTGTTATCATACACGCTGGTATCATACACGCTGTTATCATACACAGTGTTATCATATACGCTGTTATCATACACGCTGTTATCATACACGCTGTTATCATACACGTTGTTATCATACACGCTTTTATCATACACGTTGTTATCATACACATTGTTATCATACACGCTGTTATCATAAACGTTGTTATCACACACGCTGTTATCATACACGCTGTTATCATACATGTGGTTATCAAACACGTTGTTATCATACACGCTTAATTCATACACGCTGTTATCATTCACGCTGTTATCACACACGTTGTTATCATACACGTTATCACACACGCTGTTATCATACACGCTGTTATCACACACGTTGTTATCACACACGTTGTTATCACACACGTTGCTATCGTATACGCTGTTATCAAACACTCCGTTATCATACACGATGTTATCATACACGCTGTTATCATACACAGTGTTATCATACACGCTGTTATCATACACGTTGTTATCACACACGCTGTTATCATACACACTGTTATCATACACTGTTATCATACACGCTGTTATCATACATGTTGTTATCACACACGCTGTTATCATACACGCTGTTATCACACACGCTGTTATCATACACGCTGTTATCACACATGTTGTTATCATACACGATGTTATCATACACACTGTTATTATACAGGTTGTTATCACACACGCTGTTATCACACACGTTGTTATCACACACGTTGTTATCACACACGCTGTTATCAAACATTCTGTTATCATACACGATGTTATCATACACAGTGTTATCATACACGCTGTTATCATACACGGTGTTATCACACACGCTGTTATCATACACACTGTTATCATACACTGTTATCATACACGCTGTTATCATACACGCTGTTATCATACACAGTGTTATCATACACGCAGTTATCATACACGCTGTTATCATACACGCTGTTATCATACACAGTGTTATCATACACGCTGTTATCATACACGCTGTTATCATACACGCTGTTATCACAAACGCTGTTATCATACATGTTGTTATCACACACGCTGTTATCATACACGCTGTTATCATACACGCTGTTATCACACACGTTGTTATCATACACGTTGTTATCACACACGATGCTATCATACACGCTGTTATCATACACGCTGTTTTCACACACGCTGTTATCATACACGCTGTTATCACACATGTTGTTATCATACACGTTGTTATCATACACACTGTTATTATACAGGTTGTTATCACACACGCTGTTATCACACACGTTGTTATCATACACGCTTTTATCACACACATTGTTATCATACACGTTGTTATCATACACGGTGTCATCATACACGGTGTTATCACACACACCATTATCACACTCACCATTATCACACACACACCATTATCACACACGCGCACTCAATACTAATGAAGTTTTATTGTACAAAAAATTTCATTCACATCATTATTTCTCTTTAAGACACTTCACATAGCGATCATATAAACAAATGATAACAACTAATCACCTAATAGCCAATATATAAATTATAAAATGCTGTAATCATAATAATACACTTTGGATGATTGACCCATTAGATCACCCTAAGGAATGAATTATAAAATTTAGCAACCTGTAACATAAAAAATAACACATTTTATACATCTCTACAAAACCTCTTTAATTAACTTACAATAACATAATTACTTACAATAAAAATATTCCTGTTAACCAGTATTTTTCCTGACGACTTAAACTTGACATTGGCCAGAGGTGGTTAACTACAGGTAACTGCTGGTAAAAATGTTAATCTTGGACTAAATTAGCAGCGAGAGGTGTTAAGGTGAGCGTTAATGAGACTGCCGGCCAGCAGGGCGCCTGGAAGGTGTACCTCTGTGTGTGGAGGAGTCGTGTCGCCTCCACTCACTTACCTTAATGTCCCTTACGCTCTAATGAAAACACAAAAATGTTAATTTTAAGCAGTGACTCCACGGTCTGGTGCTGGCTTATGGCTTCGGCGCCAGATGGTTTGGTGCTGGCTTATGGCTACAAGGGCCAGATGGTTTGGTGCTGGCTTATGGCTACAGGGGCCAGATGGTCTGGTGCTGGCTCATGGCTACAGGGGAAAGATGGTCTGGTGCTGGCTTATGGCTTCGGCGCCAGATGGTTTGGTGCTGGCTTATGGTTAGGGGGGCCAGATGGTCTGGTGCTGGCTTATGGCTATGGGGGCCAGATGGTCTGGTGCTGGCTTATGGCTACGGGGGCCAGATGGTCTGGTGCTGGCTTATGGCTACGGGGGCCAGATGGTCTGGTGCTGGCTTATGGCTACGGTTGCCAGATGGTCTGGTGCTGGCTTATGGCTACAGGAGCCAGATGGGCTGGTGCTGGCTTATGGCTACGGGGAACAGATGGTCTGGTGCTGGCTTATGGCTACAGGAGCCAGATGGGCTGGTGCTGGCTTATGGCTACGGGGGCCAGATGGGCTGGTGCAGGCTTATGGCTACGGGGGCCAGACGGTCTGGGGCCAGATTCACGAAGCAGTTACGCAAGAATTTACGAACATAGACATCTTTCCTCAATCCTTGACGGTTTTGGTTACATTTATTAAACAGTTTACAAGCATGAAAACTTGCCAATCGACTGTTGTTATTGTTATAATGTGCCTCTTGGTGCTTCGGAGCTCATTAACTGTCAAATAATTGTAAACAAAGCTGCCAAATATTGAGAGAAGATGTACACGTTCGTAAGTACTTGTGTAACTGCTTGGTGCATCTGGCCCCTGGTGCGGGCATATGGCTTCGGGGGCCAGATGGAGAGTAGTATGATTGACGGCGTAGCATTAACTTTTGTTTTTTGAAAACTTTCTGCTGTCAGTCGATTTTCAGTTAAATTTTTTCAGAGTTTTACTTACAGTTGCAGCTGCGTCACGTAGGATTTCCGGATAAATTTTTTTCAGAATAAAATTTATGACCGAAATTTTTCAGACACCATTTATGGAGAATATGTTTACAGAAGCTTTTTTTAAGGGAAAATAAACCCATTAGCAGGAACTTTTTGTTTTGTGTCCATGTACTGCTGTCACCCATTTTAAGACCGAAATTTTTCAGAGACCATTTAAAGACCGAAATTTTTCAAAGACCATTTAAAGACCGAAATTTTTCAAAGTTCATTTTCAGACCAAATTTGTCAAGAGACCAGTTAAGACCGATTTTTTTCAGAGTGTTAATCCTCGCTGTGATCCTAAAAGAGTTTTTATGGATATAATTAAACTCTATGGACTTGAGCAGATATTTTTAAACAGTTCATCAGAACTGTGTAGTTGCTCTTTTAAGCGATAAATTTCCATGAAATGTAAAACATGGTTATTTCGAATGTAGTAATAAAAGAAAATTGCGTTAACGAGTTCTAGCTCTCGTCCTCCACTTTAGTTGACTCCTGTAGATTCGAAAATAACAATCCAATCCCCTTTAAATTTAAACCCGCTGTATTTCTGTCATAGCAAATTAAACAAAAGCATTTAGCGAGCTTCAGCTCTTGTCCTCCGCCATATTTTACTTTATCAACTCCGTTATTAACCGATCATTTTCCATAAAATTTTAACTTTCAATATTTCTGACATAACAAAATACAACAATTTAGGTGCCGAGCTCCAGCTCCCGTCCCTCCACCTTAGTTCCCTCTCACAATTCCGATATTATCTGATCAATTTCCTTTAGATTTAAAACGTAGTTATTTCAGATGTAGTAAATAAGATCAAGGCAGTTACCGAACTCCAGCTCCTGTCTCCCGCCTTACTTCATTCGTATAATTTTGAGACCATATCCATTGCAATTTAAAATCATTCCATATCCAATGCAATTTAAAACATTCATATTTCAGACACAGTAAGTAAAGAAAATCAAGTTTCCGAGTTCTAGCTCCCGTCCCCCGCCCTACTTCACTCGTACAACTTCTTTAGTGTAAGTTCAATTTCCCCTTAAATTTAAACTCGCTGTATTTCTTACAAAGTAAATAAGATCAAGGCGGTTACCAAGTTCCAGCTCCTGTCCTCCACCTTAGTCTTCTCTCTTATCTTTAAAAATTTCTACCCAATTTTCCTAAAATTTAAAACTGCTATATTTCATACTAGCTGTACCCGGCCACGCATTGCTGTGGCTCAGCAACCTTATCCTGTCCCCCCAGTCCTTCCCTACAATTTCTCCCTCCCCCATCCCCTCTTCTTCCCAACCATTCTCCACGCCACCATCCCCTCGTCCTCCCCACCATTCCTCACTCCGTCGTCCGATGCATTCCCAAATGATCTCATATTCCCATCAGAAAATTGGGAACATATAATGATCTGATGTTCTCATCACTGAAAAATAAGAACAGTTAGAAAACTAACTAAGAAACAATGAAAAAAAAAATCATACTCACGAAATGACTGGTATGGTAAACAGCACAGATCAATTCTAATGCAATGTCACACAAAATATAAATCAAAATGAAAATAAATCGAAATCCATGAAAATTCAATTTATCAATGCAGTCTGAAACACTGAAATGGAAGCGTAACATATGATATATAGCGTGTGTTGCTATTATGTGCAACAAATGGTGCTATTTAAAAAAAAACAATGTTTTACCTGTCACAGGTGTGGCATCTATACTTATACTCACGAAATGAATGGTATGGTAAAAACCACAGCTCAATTCCAACGCAGTGTCACACAAAATAATTAAATCAAAATTAAAATAAATCGTATTCTATGAAAATTTAATTTATCAATGCAATCGAAAACATTGAAATGTATTCGTAACATATTTAGAAAAGCATGTGCTGCTCTTACAGTCAACAGATGGCACCGTTTTTTTTTTAACATGTTTTTACCTGTCACAGGTGTGGCATCTATAACGTAGGTATATAAAAACACGCGCCTATTCGAATGCAACGTTGTGTCAAAATTTCAAAGCAATCGGTAAATAGTTTCGATGATTTCCCTCACATGAAAAACACAGTTTTTCAAAAAAGCATGTTTTTCTTTCCCCGTCACAGACGTGACATCTATATAATATGTATATAAAAACCTGCTTGGATGCGATTGGAACGTTGTGTGAAAATTTCAAAGCAATCGGTGAAGAACTTTCGGAGATTAGCGATTTTGAACAAATGAACATTTCCATTTTTATTTATATAGATGTAGTAAAATAGGTCAAAGCAATTACCGAGCTCCAGCTCTTGTCCTCCACCTCTGTCCAATGTTCATCAAACTCAGTTATTCGTGAACAAGTAAGTAGCTCTCATTCTTTACCTTGTCTGGTCTTGCCTTATCAAAGTTAGCACAAGTCTAACCGCACCCGTGTAACTGTTCTTATCTCTCCCTCCTGCCTTCCTCCGTATCTCCTCCCCCTTAACCCCTTACCCCCCCATCCCCCCCCATCCCCCCCTAACCCCGCTCTCCCTACTCCCCGGCATCTTACCCCTTCCCCATCTCATCCAAATCTCCCCTCAAAAATTTTAAATGTAGCTAGTATTCAGTAATCTTACCATATTGTTGTGTT